CTCCATTAGTTCCTCCTCTAATTCTCATCAACCCCTGGCTCTGAGTGAAATAAAAAAAGAGGAGAGAAAAAGAAAGGGAATAGAAAATAATTTGTTTTAAGGTATAAGCCAATGCTAGGATTCTCTTTTTTCCTCTTCCTTCTCACAGATCAAGGCACTACACTCAAAAGATAAAGGGATAATATTAATGATGATTATTATACTTCAATCATCTGAAAATGAAGAAAAATAATAGCAAATCTTTCACCATGATTCATGGAAACAACTTTAAGAAATAGTAGAAGTAAAACTTAAATGTTAAAGATTTTCAGTTAAAAAGGCACTGTTTTAATATCTTAGGGTCTTTAATGCAAGAAAACCAATAATCTCTGAGAGCTAAAGTCAGAAGACTATTCCAGGTCTATATTACGCAGTTCAACATATCAAAGAACCAATTCTAAAGGATATTTATATGAATTGAGGTTTCTCCAAATATTTAAAGACCATATACATCTTTATGCAATAGCCATTAACAAATAAAGGGAGGAAAAGACAATTGGCTAATAGTCATATTTCTGTATCTGTTACTTTAGAGGAAATAGCTGATTTACTTAAGCTCATTTATGAATTAAAACATTACTAAAGTGATTTTTTTGATGTGAGTTCTCAGTTAAACTTTCAATAGTAGGATGGTGATAATTACTTAAGGGGGACCTCTGAAGGAGAAAAAGTGGAGGAGAGAAGTAGGTGTGGAAGTTGTGTTAATGCTGTCTTTGCATTCTTTCTTTCTGTTTTAAGTTTGGTTGGCCAGAACAACTTAAGTTTTACTCCAAAGCACTGTCAAGTATGGAACTGGCTCAGTGAAAGGCAATTGGAAAATGTGGGGGATGTGGACACCAGAGAGCACCCGCCCTATTTGCAGGCATCTGATTCAATTTATGCTACCACAACATTGAGCACCTACCCGACATGCCTACAGGTACCAATTTGCCACCTCTGTGTTCAGTCTGACTATACTCACAACTGCAGTACAATTCTTGAATATTATGAAGCCTGGCTTAGTGGGACCTTAAAAAGAATGCTCCCAAAATAGGTAGAAGGATGCTTTGCAGGCAAATGGGTAGATAGGAGGAATAGTACAGAATCCTAGTTCTCACTTTACATTTAAAAGCATCTTTGTTAAATTTCAGACCTCTTGAACTAGATTCTCTGATTCCCAATGCTTCCCTGAGAAGGCAAAGAAAGGAATTTTATAGGGTAAAGTCTTGAATTCAGTGAGACCAGATATGAAGGCCAGATCTTTCCAAGAAGGGGAACAATCAATAATAATAAATCAATGAGTGGACTGATTATCTCTTTTAAAGTTGACATTCAGCTGTGAACTTCTTTTACATGTTGTCTTTTAGCTGTGA